TATGAAGTATTAGCATCATCTTCATCTTATTATCACCCTCCCCTTAGAGATGATAGTGTAATCATTTATTCAGGACCGTCTAGCAAGCCACTGGCAGAATTAGTACTAGAACTCAGAGTTCTAGGGCTGCCTTTACCAACTTTAGGTCAGGTGGCTAGCTCTTTGGGGAATAGAAGTAAAGTTAGCTGACCTTGGCATTTTGGAAAAGCAGTTGTTTAAACGTACAATTTAAAGGGACAGTCATGGAGTAATTAAATTAGAGACAGGAAGGAAGATCTCTAGCAATTTCTGTCCTCTGTTTTGAACAAACTTTACTAGAGGATATCACTGTTGGACACAATAGAGTTGGAATATAACAGGGAATATTAAGGGTAGTTATCTGGAGAACTCTTATTTAAAATTATATAGCTTTTGAACCATGGAATGTATTTTTGGAGGAAGTAGAACAATCACTTAAGAGTACACAGAGGCTTACAACCGTCCTCTGTTTCAGGTGCTTCTTTCTGAGGTAATAGTTTGAAGCCCTGGTGGTGTAGTAGTTAAGAACTTGGCTGTTAACCAAAACATCGGCAATTCAAATCCACCAGCTGCTCCTTGGAAAGCCTATGGGGCAGTTCTACTCTGTCCTATAGATTTGCTATGAGTCAGAACTGACTTGACAGCACCTAACAACAATAGTCTGTCATGGAAATAGCAGTTTGAGGCAGTGCCCCTAGTAAAGGTTTTATGGACTTCACTTGCAGAGAAAATCTAATAGACTCTACTAGTACTGTGAGCTAAAGAAGCCATATTTTTTTTGTGGTGACTGATATTCCCTGCATTTGTGCCAGCATGTTCCACAGAGCCATGTGGCCTACAATAAATTAGTGCCTGGTTAGAACAAGGTGACAGAACCACCAAATGTAGACCCAGTTAGACCCAGATGAGTTCCAGCAATGGAGCTGGATCTTTGTGGCTTCTTCCTAAACTACTATATAAATTTATTTTAAGATATGCACCTCTACTGAGTTCAAGGCTAGCCAAGAAAGATTGCTCACAGTTTGGGTCATCATTGCTGATTAGAAGTGTGAGGAGGCTGTCTCCTTCCCAGTCCACTCTGCTTTCCTTGCCAGCACCCCAACCCCAACCTCTAGTATTTTCTGACAGTGAGGTGTTTTACCATTGTTACACTCTTTTACTAGTCTCATGACATGGCTGATAGGTTTTGCCCTTGTTATATTCTCCTACCAGTCCGTGACATGGCTGTAGAAAGCTGAGGGGGAGAGTGGCTCAAAAGAGTACAGATCCGCTTAAATTTATATTTCTATGACTAACATTTTAGAAAATATTTTTATGCTGAATGAGTCTTCCATTTTTACACCAAAGCTGAATGTGTATTTACATTTAAACAGTAAGTTTAAAGTTTGAGTTTAAGAAAAAAATTATCCATAAATAGGTATGTATATGATTTATTTTTATTGTTTTAAACCATAAACTTGAAATACAGAAGTGCAGCTTTACGCAGAATATAAAAGTGGAGGGGATAATCACTTTATAAAAGGATTATTCACTTTACCAACACATTTAAGGGAATAGTCTGTTAAAAAACAAATTCCTCTAAAGTAGTTGAAGTTCCATATTTTTCAGAAATAGTGCACCCACATAAATAATGTGCACACACATATAACATGCAGAAATGACAGAATTATGTAAAAAGTTCTGGCGTAGTGCATCCATGCGTATACCGCACACGTCTCGTGACGTTCCCAGAAGTGAATTTCAGCCTCATTAAATGTCCGAAAGCGTTACTTTTGATCATATTTGTATCCTGAAGGTATAAGCCATGGTCAAGAAGTCATAATTCAAGTTTGGGAGTGACTGGTAATTGGAAAATAAATAATTGAAACTCATTTGTTTCTATTAATTTAAATTGATAATTATATCCCCATTGCTTTTGAGTCATCATTTGGTACCTTGAACCCACTAAAGCCTGTCCATAAATTACGTGCTATCATTAGAGAAGTGCAGATTGAAACTACAGTGAGATAACATCTCACCCCAGCAAGGCTAGCATTAATCCAAAAAACACAAAATAATAAATGCTGGAGAGGTTGTGGAGAGACTGGAACACTTACACACTGTTGGTGGGAATGTAAAACGATCCAACCACTTTGAAAATCGATTTGGTGCTTCCTTAAAAAGCTTGAAATAGAAGTACCGTATGATCCAGCTGTCCCGCTCCTTGGAATATATCCTAGAGAACTAAGAGCTGTCACACGAATAGATATATGCACACCCATGTTCATTTCAGCACTGTTCATGATAGTAAAAAGACAGAAACAGCCTAGGTGCCCATCCGCGGACAAATGGATAAACAAATTATGGTATAT